AAGCACAGAGAAAAGGAGAATGTACAAATTACATTTGGAATAATAATAGACAATAATAGATAATAATAGATGTCTTGTTGTAAGGGAGAGGATTGAATAAAGAGAATAATTGCTAACAACAACAACAATCCTTCACATTTATAAAGTACCTACTCTACATAGGCTATTGTGGTAAGTCCTAGACATAAAGTTGAAAGGGAGGTTCAATTGAGGTTTTTAAGTAGCAGGTGGTTATTTGGCACTTTATCCTACAGAAAATGGAGAACACCTGAAGGTTTTTGAGAAGAAAAGCGACAAGATGGAAGTCAACTCTGGTTGGGATCTGTAGGGAGAAAGTGCAGACAGGAAAATCAGAATATTCTACACGACTCTAATGTTGGGAGCTGAAGGCCTAAACATGGGCAGTAAGAGTAGAAATGAGAAGGAGGGGAAAAAAAAGTACAGGGGCAGCTAGGTGGTGCAGTGGATACAGCCCCGGCCCTGGACTCAGAAGGACCTGAGTCCAAATCCAGCCTCAGACACATAACACGCACTCGCTGTGTGACCCTGGGCAACTCACTTAACCCTGTTGCCTAGCCACCACCTCCCCCCACCCCCCAAAAAGGAAATGATTAGGAAGGGATAGACAGAAATATCACTCAGGAATTGAGCCATATATAGTATCTGTGAACAGAGGTGAGGCATGGGTATGTCTTTCATTTCATAAAGTGAAAATAAGCTTCCCTTGATTTCTATGTTTAAAAATATCCTCTGAAGAAAGATATCAAAGTATGTAGAATCATAGAATGGTAGGACCTTGGGGCACACTTAATCTACAAATTTCTCTCTGCTTGGTGCATCTCTTGCCCAATGGCTAGCCAGTTCTTACTTCTTATGTCTTTAAATCTTGAGACTCAGAGCAGTAGCCCACAGAGGTGGAAACTTCTCTCCATTTCAACCTGTCCATGCATTTTTATTCCTACAGACTGGGCCCTAATCCTTAAGTTCCTTTGTCTTCCTTGCACACTGCACTCTAGAATTCTTGTTCTACTATTAATAAACTCTTCTTCATCCCAGATGTCTTAAACGCACCCTCTTTCCATCTTTTCTAGTAGTCAGACAGTAGGAGGAGTACCAGGAGAGAGCAATGTCTTGTCAAGGAAGCCAAGACAGAAGAGTATATCTAGGAAGAATGGGTGATTAAAAGTGTTGAAAACTGCAGTGAGGCCAAGTGGACAGAGGCTAAAAAAAAATCATCAAATGAAATGATTAAGAGGCAATTAGTTACTGAAAGAATTGTTTCAGTAGAGTGGTGAGATCACCAGTCTGATTCCTAGGGGGTAAGGCTGAGTGCGTAAGAAAGAAATGGAGGTAATGAGTATACAATACTTTCCGGAAGTTCATCAGTGAAAGGTAGGAGAGATATAGAATAATGTTAAGAAAGGATGACAAGATCAAGGGGAAATCTTTCAAAGATCATTTCAAGTATACCTCCTCCATGAAGTCTTCCTTGTGTCTCTCTCATCACACTCCAATAAAAAATTATCTTCCTCTCAGATTTTCCCAGAGCACTTTCTTTCAGTCTCTCTTTTACCACTATTATATTCTATCTTATAATGACCTCTTTTCATATTATATAACCTACCCAATAAAATGTAAGCTCTTGTATGTATTTTGCCATTAAAAGATAATCTTTGTATATCCATCACTTAATGGTACCTTGTACATAGGTGCTTCACAAATTTTTGTTTAATTGTATTGTTGCCTATTAAGGCAAGAGAGAAATTTTAGAAGAAGTTTTCCAACTAAATATTTACATCTTACCCATCCTTTAAGGCCCAGTTCCAATATTCCCATGTAACAAGTGAGGAAAATGAGTATCTGAGAAATGATGTGACTAGCCCAAGGTCCCAAGAGCTTGAACTCTGGCCTTCTGATTCTCAGTCTATTGCATTTTCCAATATGTAGTATTATATACATACACACAAATGTATACATACATATATATGTATTATATATTTAATAAGAAACATTCATAACACATATATGTATATACTATATATACATATACCATGTACACATGTACATACATAAGCACGCATTCATATATAAACACACACACGTACACATATGCTTATATATCCGTGTACACATACACACTTATGTGCATATGCATGTAGATACACACATATATACATATGTATATATAAACACACACTATACACACATACATATATACATTGTTTTTGTTTGTCCTTCATTCTTGGAGAGGACCAATGACATGGGAAAGGTGACATCATTGCTTACAAGTGAATTGGATTTAAGTGAGGCAGGGTTGTGCTAAGTTACCAGCCTCACTCTTTCTCCTGGAGCCATCTGGGTCCAGTGGGAAGATATAGATCAGGTTGACTGGAGACAGCCCTGGATGCAATAGGAGACTTTGGCCTTTTTAAGCTAAGGTTTTTCCTAGGTCTCAGTTTATCTGAGGCAATGCCCATTCAGTGATTAAGGCTAGGTAAAAAGGAGGCAAAGAATCATCTCTTTTAAGATTTATAGACATGTATACGCACCTATATACACACATCTACATATAGACATACACACACATATAAATGACTTTGGGTCAAGAGTAGCAAGCAATTAAGAGGATGCTCTAGAAAAATACATAAACTTATAGAATATCAACTCGATCAATATGTAGTGTCTTAGAGAATTGATGAAGAAATCAGTGTTGAATGTACATCCACAGTAAAGAAAAGCAAAACTCTGTTTTTTCTCCCCTATTGTTAATCTATTCTCAAATTCTGTATTTTAGGTTTTCAGCACAGAAGTTAATATGGAGGATTAGTATAGTAAGTGTTAGGTTTTAACTTATCTAGGACATAAAAATGCAATCCCAATGCCTGTACCAAATGTCTAAGGACATGTAAGATGTTCTGTTTGGAGGTTGGGGCTGGTGGTGAGGAGGAGAGGTAGGGGGATAGGAATTTAAAAAAAAGCAAGAATAGGAGCTAATTATGAGCAATTTAGAGAGAGTTTTGTTTAGAAAATCTATCAGTGGAAAATGGCTAGGTGAATAGATTCCCACTGATAGCAGTTTTTAACATAGAATAGTGTCTTTTTCATGAGTAATCATTAGCAATTATAATATAGGCTTTAAATTGGCTGGGGCTGGGCTAATGGTGTTTTATGAATACTAAACAATCTTATGTGGGTCTCTGTTCCCAGGCATAATAATGAAAACCATAGCTCAAGCACCTTTCTGGGAAATATTTGCTATCATGTCAACCTATCAGCTCAGGGCTAAGTAATATTAATGCTCTAAGTTAGGTTCTCTGTTGAGAATAGGGCAATAGCAAGCCTGGTTGCTGGGTCATAGATTGAAGAGTTGGGAGGGACCTTAGAGGTCATCTGACCTAAATACTTCATTTTATAGAAGAGCTACTGAGGCCCACAGGGGTGAAATGACTCACCCAAGGTTGCATTGTAATCTAGTGGAAGGGCCAGTACTGGACACGAATCCTTTTGTTTCCCAGTACAAAATACTTTCCAGTGCTCCTCACTGCCTCTCTAACTCAGAGCGAACATTAGGGACATGGGGTGGGTGGAGAGTGTCCAGCTTGGTTGAGTGATTAGGATGTAGAAGAGTCATGATTATACCCTCAGACAGTGTGACTTGTACAGATGGGCAGGAAGCAAGACAAGCCAATGAGGAGTGGCCAGCTTCAATCAAGGTTGTGGCAACATCAGGAAGAGCTGTCAGCTGATACCGACCTGAGGACTGAAGGCAATATTGTTTTTTTCCTTGGCAGCTCTAAAATATTGAGAATACAGAAGATGCCCTACTCTCCCTTTACTCTTTCAAAGACCCATTGGCTGCTGGAGCAGCCCTGCTTTTCATTTTACACTAAGACACTTGGCTTTTACTGAAGCTTTCCACTTGTCTTTTTTTTTTTTTAGGAACAGTTAGCTTTCATCATTACCTTAGGTGGAGGCCTATAAGGTAGTAAGTAACTTTATAAATAATCCCTTTCACTGCCTTATAATAGTAACAGTTTACATTGATGTAGTTCTTTATATTTTAAAAATTCTTTTTCATAAACTTTCTCATTTTATCCTTATAGTAACTCTGAGTTTTAGGTAGTTCAATCCCTTTTTCAGATGTGGAAACTGAAGCTTAGAAGGTAGAAGTAACATGACTTGTACATGGGATAGTCTTTCCTAGCTCTTGTGACTCCCAGCCTTTTTAACAACGTCCTCTTCCTCATTTTGTGATTTTATGAGCTGATAAGCTAACAGAACAATAACATGAAGAACAGATCAATGATCTACAACTTTATTCCTTTAGTAGGATTATCAACATTATTATTATTATTGTGGTAAGGGATCATTCCCCAACATGTAACATACGGATATTGTGTGGCTTAAAGGGAGGCCGAATAGACATCTCTAGCTCCATCCTTCCTCAAGGAAGACTAACTCCTGCCAGAAAAGGAAGTAGAAGGTTGGGGCCAGAGGTTACTCTGTTTTTCTCAGAGAAAGGGGGGCAGTGGACTAAGATTTTATCTATTTGTTCCCTTAAATACTATTAGTCTAGAGGATATGATCAAGTGCCACCTAATTTCTGATTTCAACATCATTATTGGGGGAGAAGGAGAACCCCAAGCTTTATATCCAAGGCTTGACCCCTTTCTCATTAATATCAGTTCCATAATGAACATACATAGAAAATAGTGAAGAAAACCATTTATCCAAATCATAGTAAAAAAGAAATCAGAAAAGGTTATGCATAGGAGGATGTGTGTTTGACAATATAGTGAAGAAGCTCTCCCATTGGGAGGAAGGTAACTCAGCTCAGACAAGAGAAAGAGTCACAGAGCTCACCCAAGGATGAGTTTCCTGAATTCTCTAGTGTAGAAAGTTGGAGAGGGGAATAAGATAGAGACTATCAGTTCTTCTCATGTCTTCCCAGAGTCTTTTCCTTCAGTAACCTGAAGTATGGTTGGCCTCTTCTGTCTTACCTCTAGAAGCTGGTGGCCTGAAGCGACCAAAGGAACTGCAGGACCCAAGTGTACTCAAAGCTTGATGAGAACATGAAGACTTGAAGACTGAAGCTTTCTCACTCTCCTATCTCTCATTCAGGGTAGGGCATTTATCTCTACCAATAAGGAGGGAGTGCCATACAATGGACTTTGGGAGTAGGGTTACATTCCCATCAATCTAGAGTAGGAGGAGACCTTTAAAGTCCCTTCCATCTATTCAAACTGTTTTTCTTGTAAACAAATAAAACTGAAACTAAGGTTAAGTGACTTGTCAAGGTCACAGAGCTAGTTAGTTTCTCTCTCACTCTCTCTCTCTCTCTCTCTCTCTCTCTCTCTCTCTCTCTCTCTCTCTCTCTTTCTCTCTTCCTCCCTCCCTCTGTCTTTCCCTCCCTCCCTCTCTCCCTCCTTCCCTCTTTGTCTTTTTCACTCTCTGCGAAAGCCCTCATCTATTCTGCCAGTTCATATATACTGTGTAATAGGTAATATCTTTTCCTAAGTAGTGTAAGTCAATTTCATCTGGTTCACTGCTTTAGTAAGTAGGTGAGCAAACACAGATAAAATGAGATCCTAACTGCTTAGCAAAGATTCTTCATATGAGCCATAGTAAATGATAAAATATAATATTGTATATAGAATTTTCTTCACCACCAAATGATTCTTTCTATGGGCTACAGTTAAGGAATTGGCTGTGTGTATTACTGTATTTGATTCTGCCTTTCTGGAAGAGCCCCTATATTTAGGGGAGAAATAGAGCAGAAAGATTGAAATAGACTTCATTCACAAGGTCAAGATATAGTTACATCCTTTTCCATTGTTAAATTTGTACTTTATTTTCCAGAGAAGCTATGTGTCTTTTGTTTAGCTTTATAAAACCACTCATTAAAAATAGACCAGGTCTCTAAGATGTAAGAGAGGGATGGATACATTGTACTCTCCTAAATATAGGCGTAAAATATCAGTTTTTAATATATAGATAAGTTATTTGGCCCTATAAGTAGAAAAATTTACCTCTTTTTGACTTTTTGATGCTATTAAGAAGGGACAGACATCATGGTGGAAGACTAGATGAGATGACACCAAAGAGTTGTCTGATTCAAATATTTTGTGACTCCATACAAATATCAGGGTGTAAGCAGCTGTTCTCTTATTCATTTATTTGTTCATTTATTTATTCAGCTATCTACCTACTTATTTAACAAACATGTAATGATTTTCTACTCTGTACTGGGTATTGGGAATTTCAAAAGAAGAATTCTCTGCCTTTCTTTAAGATTAAAATGAAAACTTTTGGTTTCATGAAGCTTCCTCAAGCTTCATCCTCACTGCCCATCCCCACAACCAGTGCAAATGTTCTACCTCTAATCAACCTCCTATTTTTTTTGGTTCGGCAATGGGGTTAAGTGACTTGCCCAGGGTCACACAGCTAGTAAGTGTCAAGTGTCTGAGGCCAGATTTGAACTCAGGTCCTCCTGACTCCAGAGCTGGTGCTCTATCCACTGTGCCACCTAGCTGCCCCCAATAATCAACCTTCTGAATGTGAACCTGGAGTCAGGAAGACCTAGGTTCAAATCTAGCCTCAGACACTTACTAGCTATGTGACCCTAGGCAAGTGGCTTAGCCCTGTTTGCCCCAGCTTCCTCATCTATAAAATGAGCTGGAGAAAGAAAACCAAAACAAAACAAAACAAAAACACTCCAACATCTTTGCCAAGAAAAGCCCAAATGGGGTCAAGAAGAGTTGGACAAAGATTGAATAAGTCCACACTTAGAGATTGTATTAGAGAGACTGCGTTTAGAGGACTGTTCAGGTAGATGGCACAGTAAATAGAACACTAGGCTTGGAATCAGGAAGACTCCTTTTCATGACTTCAAATCTGGCTTCAGATTTACTAGCTATGTGACCCTGGGCAAGTTACTTAACCGTATTTGCTTCACTTTCCTCATCTGTAAAATGAGCTGAGAAGGAAATGGCAAACCACTATAGTATCTTTGCTGGGAAAACCCCAGCTGGACTCCTGAAGAGTCAGACATAACTGAAAGACTGAACAATCAAACTGAATCCCTACTTTGTACTTATTTAACTTCCCTGATCAACTCTAATTATTCGTATACCTCTTTTTTCTACATTCAGTTATAAGCCTTCAAAGATCAAGATCTGTGTCTTAGCTATGTTTAGATCCCCAAAGTCTAGTCTTATTATTATTCAAAGAATCAATAAATGTTTATTATGTACTTACTAAGTACCAGGCACTGCTCTGCACATAGTAGGTATAGAATTACTGTCCTTGAGGAGCTTACACTTTAATGTGTAAGGGGATGCTACATATACCCAGAGAAAAGAAAGAATGGAATTACAAGTTAAGTATGGCACTGCTCATACAGCTCAGGAGAAAAGAGCACTGGAATAAGAAACTCTTTGAACTTGGTTCAACACCCATTTCTGCCACTTTCTATCTGTGTGAGCTTGGGCAAATCGCTTTACCTGTTAGGATTTCATTTTCCTCCTTTATAAAATGAGCAGGCTAGATAAGATGATCTCTAAGGTTCCTTCTAGTTCTAAATATTCCATTACATTCATATACCATAGTTTGTTCAGCCTTTTCCCTAATACTTTATTTTTATTACATTGCACAGAAAGATTACATGTATTGTCATGTTTTTGTTATGATGAAATTTGTCCTATTATGTTCCATCTTGCAATTGTTTCTGCCAGAGGTCAGAGAACAGATCCAGATAAAATCTTATGAGTAACTTGGGAATGGGGAGTGATGCTCATGTGAGCATATCCAAACGAAGCCATTTTGCTAAGAGGAATTTTTCTCTAACTATTATTTTAGATGCTTGCTATTTACGTGAAGAGAGAGATTTTACTTAGGGATTGACCATGCTTAATTCAAAGAGTTAATTCAATTGAACACGCATTTATTGAGCTGCTGTTATAAACCAGGTTCACTGGGAACACAAAGACAATAATACACCCATTTTTACTTGTTTTCTGCATTGTAAAGTGATAGAACATGTGAGATTTCTGACATCTTTGCTCCAGGTTTCCTGTGAGATATTGGTTAAGTCAGCCCCCTTGTGGTGGTCTTTTTTATTAGGTGAGAGCAGGTGAAAGATGGGGCAGCAGGAAACTACTGTCTGAGAACAAATGCTTGTGGTTATAATGACCATTGACTCAGTATTGTCTTTAATATCTTCATTTTAGCTGTCTCTCTTCAGGCTGTACATTAAAAAAATTGTAACTTTGGGACAGTTGTACAAGTATGGTTGTCACATGTTCTGCCTCCTAACTGAGGTAAATAGCTCGTACAGTAGATAGAGCCCTGTTTCTCCAGTCATGAAGACCTGATTTTATATTTGACCTTGGACATTTAGCAATTGTGTGATCCTGGGCAAGTCATTGAACCTTGGTCTGTATTAATTTCCTCAGCTATCACATGGGGATTATAATAGCACCTATCTCACAGGATTGTTGTGAAGATAAAATAAAACAATATTTGTAAAATGCTTAGCACAGTGTCTAGCATATTTATTGAGCACTTAATAAATCCTTCCTTCCTTCCTTCTTTCCTTCCTTCCTTTCTCCCTCCCTCCTTTCCTTCCTTCCTTCCCTCATTCCTTCCTTTCTTCCTTCCTTCCTTCCTTCCTTCTTCCTTCCTTCCTTCCTTCCTTCCTTCCCTCCTTCCTTCCTTTCTTCCCTCCTTCCTTCCTTCCTTCCCTCCTTCCTTCCTTCCTTCCTTCCTTCCTTCCTTTCTTCCTTCCTTCCTTCCTTCCTTCCTTTCTTCCTTCCTGCCTTCCTTCCTTCCTTCCCTCCTTCCTTCCTTCCTTCCTTCCTCCCTCCTTTCCTTCCTTCCTGCCTTCCTTCCTTCCTTCTTTCCTTTCTCCCTCCCTCCTTTCCTTCCTTCCTTCCTTCCTTCCTTCCTTCCTTCCTTCCTTCTTCCTTCCCTCCTTCTTCCCTCCTTCCTTCCCTCCTTCCTTCCCTCTTCCTTCCTTCCTTCCTTTCTCCCTCCCTCCTTTCCTTCCTTCCTTCCTTCCTTCCTTCCTTCCTTCCTTCCTTCCTTCCTTCCTTCCTTTCTGCCTCCCTCCTTTCCTTCCTTCCTTCCTTCCTTCCTGCGTTCCTTTCTCTCTCCCTCCTTTTCTTCATTCCTGCCTGCCTTCCTTCCTTTCTCCCTCCCTCCTTTCCCTCCTTTCTGCCTTCCTTCCCTCCTCCTTCCTTCCTTCCTTCCTTCCTTCCTTCCTTCCTTCCTTCTTCCTTCCTCCTTCCTTCCCTCCTTCCTTCCCTCCTTCCTTCCTTCCTTCCTTTCTCCCTCCCTCCTTTCCTTCCTTCCTTCCTTCCTTCCTTCCTTCCTTCCTTCCTTCCTTCCTTCCTTTCTCCCTCCCTCCTTTCCTTCCTTCCTGCCTTCCTTCCTTCCTGCCTTCCTTCCTTCTCTCCTTCATTCCTTCCTTCCTTCCTTCCTCTTCCTTCCTTCCTTCCTTCCTTCCCTCCTTCCCCTTTCTCCCTCCCTCCTTTCCTTCCTTCCTTCCTTCCTTCCTTCCCCTTCCTTCCTTCCTTTCTCCCTCCCTCCTTCCTTCCTTCCTTCCTTCCTTCCTTCCTTCCTTCCTTCTTTCCTTCCTTTCTCCCTCCCTCCTTTCCTTCCTTCCTTCCTTCCTTCCTTCCTTCCTTCCTTCCTTCCTTCCTTCCTTCCTTCCTTTCTTCCTTCCTTCCTTCCTTCCTTCCTTCCTTCCTCCTTCCTTCCTTCCTTCCTTCCTTCTTTCCTTTCCTTCTCCCTCCCTCCTTTCCTTCCTTCCTTCCTTCCTTCCTTCCTTCCTTCCTTCCTTCCTTCCTTCCTTCATTCCTTCCTCCCTCCTTTCCTTCCTTCCTGCCTTCCTCCTTTCCTTTCTCCCTCCCTCCTTTCCTTCCTTCCTTCCTTCCTTCCTTCCTTCCTTCCTTCCTTTCTCCCTCCCTCCTTTCCTTCCTTCCTGCCTTCCTTCCTTCCTGCCTTCCTTCCTTCTCTCCTTCATTCCTTCCTTCCTTCCTTCCTTCCTTCCTTCCCTCCTTCCTTCCTTTC